TAAAAACAATAAAGGAAGATCTATGAGTGCAAAATGATTCCCCCAAAATCAACTTCTGCAGAGAATTTAGGAGAGCACAGATAAGCAATGTGCAAATTCAGTAGGTGTTTATTAGATGCTGAGCACCAGTGGGACCATGAGCAGAGTAATACAGACCACAGCAATAAGCAGTTTTACTACAGGGGCCGCTGCAGTGCTGACTACTGCGCCTTTTTCAGCTGACGAGGACCTCGGCTTGTCAGTAGAGAGGTGAAAAGGAGCCGAGTGAAGTGTTTGCCAGGTCAAAAGGCGTCGCAGATACAACTATTACGAGATGCATCCCTGCAAATTGTTGCAGTACATTAACTGTAGAGACGGCGTGCAGTTTCTCTTGCAGCGGTCCATCCCCCTCCCTATCCTGCCTCTTCCTCTGCCAGCAGATAATACATAAATAATTCATCAGATTAAAAAGGGGCTATCTCATGAAAAAAGGCACTCTCATTTCACTGGAACTCATTTAATTTGTAATGCAGCTCCATCAAATTGCAAGGCTGCTTGTGCGGATGCGACGGTGTGCATGAGTGGAGAGCAGATCAGAGCTGTATTACATGCAGTGAATAAGGTCATGGATGTTTGGGTGTTTTTACATAAACGCACACAAACAGCCAGATGCAGTTTTTTTTCTTCTTTTGTTTCCACATACAGCAGCTTTCTCATTTATTTGCACACCTGGTAATGATGTGAAAAAGGATATAAAATAAAACAAAAAAAAACAATCATCTCTTATTACAGCATCCCCTCAAAACAAGTCTAACATTAAATTTGAGTATGTTTTTTTTTTCACACAAAAAACAAGAGCCAAAAAAAAAGAACAAAATAGACGGAATGATTTGTGGTAATTATTCTTCTTTTTTATTGGCAGGACAAAAAAACCCCCTCATATTACTTTAATTTTCCAAAATAGATGCAGAATACATACAGTTCATTCAGTTTGATGACTTTTGAACTCTCTAAAACTTTTAGAAGATTCTTTCAGTTTCTAATGTCATTGGATGACCTCAATTGTCATTTTTTGCTGGTTTAAGAAGTTTAAAGCTTGTACTGAAATAAAATGTCTAAGCTTAAGATAAGGTAAGTGTGTTAACTGAGGGGCGAAATCATATGGTTAAAATGATAAACACATCCAATCGCTGAATCCGTTAAAATAGAAACTATTGTCCTTATCATCTGCAAATAGAGGCAGACATGAGTCCCTGCTTTGTAAGTAACACAGCTATGGGTTCATCTTCGTTTGAAATTTTAAATCTTCTTCATATTTCTGGTCAGAGCCCAAAAAAAAAAAGAAGTTTAAAACACTGAATTATAGGAAATAAGGTCTTAATGTAATGTAATGTGCTCCTCTCTTTTCCATTTAATAGAAAGAAGCCTTTATCTTACTTCATGTTTGTAATTTAAGCAAAATTGTTAGAGATTGTTAATAAAGAAAAACAAAACGAAAACATGTTGCTTGGTTTAAAGAGGAAAAGAAAAACCAACATATTTACTTGAACTTTTGCACATCTTTGTCCGGGTTATCAGCATTTGTGGAGGTCCCTGTGAATTCCCTTGGGGTAAAAGGAAAGAAATGTGTACAATTTGTAAAAAAAAAAAAAAAATAGATAAGGTTTACTCTGCTACCATTTATGTTTGAAAATAATTCAACTGCAGATTTATAATTCTCAACAGTGAACTTTATAGAATCGTAAAGGTCCCTCAGCATCACAAAAAAATACATTTCCATAAATAAGTGCACTTTTTCTTCAATTGAGCAGGTAGGTGAGACACAATTATTAAGATAATTTACATTTTAAATAAGGAAAAACATCACAGGCTCTTATTTCAAGTACATAATATCTACTTATCTTCTTTTAAGGGCAAAAATACTTTCCATTTGCAAATTGCTCAGATTAACGGCAAACATATTTTAAGACATTTTTACTTATTTTTAGATCGTTTCTACAGAGCAAGTTTCTAAGCTGACTTTATTCTGTAAAAATGAACATTTGTGCAATATAAGGATCCAACTCTCTCCAACTGTTGCCATAAGTATTCAGTTCTTCCTGCAAATCATTTCTAATCAGGGTTTATAATCCCTACCATGTGATCAAATCCAGCCCCTGAATATGCAGACTACTTGTATAAACATTTGTATGAGTCGCAGTGAATCCCAGCGTAGGTAGAATGTGACCTCCACGTTAAGCCTGACTGTGAACTGTCTTTAGGACTACATATCCCACAATCCTCAGCGCTTGAGAATGACAGCAGCTCAGCAGAGAGCTCCAGAGGTCTTGTAGAAGTCCCATTGGCCCGGTAACCCGGCATAGAGAGCCTGATTTATGGAAGGCTACAGCTCGGTGGCTTTACCCCGACTTTACAACCGCAGCTGGCAATACAAACCATCGGATGCAGAGGTGTCAATTAAACCACATCTGGACTGTTGGTCTGTGGCGTGGGAATGCTTTTAGGAGGAGGGTTCCACCTCTAAATTCAAGTAAAAATAAAACTCTAAATACTGGAACATGTGGACGTGTTTCCAACTATTTTATGTCCAAAGATTTGTGTGAATGCTTCAGTAAGTGTGCATTGTTGTAAATACTCCTAAACATTGGGTGCAAACGATGGTCCTAAATTAAATTGCATCTACATCTTGCATCTATAAATGGTCATTGTTCCACATCCATTTTGATGACCACATCAGCTGGTATCATCACTGCTGGAGGCGCCTCCCAGCAGCATGCAAACAAAGCGACTCGGACACAGAGCTCGCATAGTTAACGTTCGGTGGGAGGGAGCTGATCCCGAGCCTTCTTGCCTTTAAAGCACACATCAGGGGTTACTAATTGGAACAATGAATCCTAGGGAGGAATTGATTGTGTTCAGCCACGGCAGTTTGTCTATGGGAAAAGGCTGCATCGATCCCAGGCCCTGTGATTCATGCCGATTTGAGCGGCCTCCCTCACGGGTGACTGAGCTGCACATACTTTACCTGTAAACGTTAGATTAGATTAGTCGTTCTGTGTCAAACATCTGAAAAACATGGTCACTGGATTTAAAGAGTCAATAATCTTCACCTCTATCCAGCAGATTCTCATCATTTGGATTATTATAAGACACATGGACGCTTTTGATGATACTGTAAACTCAAATTTTCTCTCTCTTTTTTTAAATGAACAATTAACAAACCATCTGGCTCATATTGTCTTTCATTCCTAACCGGTTTAGCCTAGTAACTAGCACTAGCTCAGGATGAAGGGGCACCAGTTCACCCTCTCTGAGCCAGCTCTGGCCCATTTGTCAGTGTTTCGGGGATGTGGATTCAGGCCAGATGGAGAGCTGCCCCCCTTCAGCTCCTGTAGGGCCAACAGCAGTCTGTGGTGGGGCCATAGAATACATTTTGATTTCAGAAGTAAGGGGTTTGTGCAAGTATTTCTCATTTCAGCTGCAGCTAAACCAACTTCTCCTAAACCATTCATTGTCAGTATTTGTTGTAGTCAGCTGTCAGTATTCAATTAGAATATATTAGTAACTGAATACAGAGCAGTCCTACATAGAAAACAGCAGAAATACTAATACTGATATTCACGTCTTTGAATGGTCCAGTCAAAGTCCAGCGTGTCTGGATGCTAAACTGCTGGAGACACACTCTAAAAGTCTTTATAAACATCCAGATAAAGGAAAGCTCCAGGTGTATTAAAACATTTTTTTAAAGCACTTCACATCTACATTGACCTCTGTGGTAAAATTGACCAATTTTCTATCTGAAGGCTTGTTCAAAAGTCCCAGTCAGTCATTAAATCAAAGTGTTTGTGTTTGTTTGCTCCTCAGGTTAATAATCATGAGGTTCCTTTCTTCCTGTCAGTGAACGTTAACCGGTCTTTTTCCTGAGCATCAAAGGATAAAATACCAGAAGACCTCAGTCCATATCTTCCGTTTGTTTTTTTTCCTCTCATCTGTTCAAATGCAGCAAATTAGAAATGCACAATTTAAATATAAATTAAAGATGGAGCAGAGAAGCAGACAAACAAAAACAACAAGAAAAAATAACAATATTTTCTATATTTCTAAATAATTTGTTTTGTGTTTTCAAGACTTAATGTAATCCGTTTATTTCAATCATTTAAGGAAATACCTGTTTTGAACAACATCGCCACCAAGAATCCTACAATAGATTAATCATTTTTAAGATGCAATTTTCTTTGTTCTTCCAATGCATTTTTATTTCTCTGTGGCATAGATATGACATAACTAAAAGGCCAGCTTTCCTTTAGCACTTGTTCAAATCTCGTTCACATCTGCATGTCTTGGAAAGACTCAGACACTGCAGAAGACTCAGCAGAGAAAGGTGGAAATAAGCTTTCTGTTAGAAATAATTACTTCTCACTTTGGGACTTTTGGTGCGAAAAATGTCAAATAATTGCAGAAATTTGTTTTTTATGATATTTTAATTCATACTTTACTAAATGTTTTTTGTGAAGCATGGTAGTGACAGAATCAAGTTATGGGGAATGTCACTTTCTGACCTTGATTTTTTGATCTTTCCCTAAAAACATCCTATAAATAATGCACATTTCTTTATCCATATACTCTTTATGACCAGTCTATTAAAAAATAAGAGAAATTGAATTATATAAGGAAATTGAAATAAATGTTGTTTCTAGTTAAGATATATATATATAAAAAAAAATAAAAATAAATTTAAGATTTTGCTTTGAAAAAAATGGTAATTAGTAATTAGGAAAAAGCAAAAAATTATAATATAACAAAACAGTCCAAAATAAACTAAAAATAATAACAATCACATTTAAAGGTGGAGCTGATTATTAAAAGATTAAATAATTAAAATCATCACTTTTAAAAAGCAATGCATGCTTTCTGTTTTTTTCCCCCTCATGTTTTCTATTTTAGTTGCAGTTCCCAGAAATGGCCAGTAGTAGCCACTGTTTCACCCCAACTCTTCCATCCCTCCTCCTCTCCTCTCCGCTCCTCTCCGATCAGATCAGCAGTGCGTCCTTCTCCGCCTCGGATTTCGTGTGACCAGCAGCCCTGATTGGAGACCAGCCGTCCAGCACACCAGCAGAGCCAACATTAAACCCAAACAATGACATTCTTACAGCAGCGACAGAGGCTTACATTCATTTGACAACTTCCTTACCCCACACCTTGCCTCCGCCGCTCCTTGCTGTTAAGTGGTGAGTCCTCTTTTTTTAAACTGCATGTACTGAATTTATTTTTTTTGCAAAGCGATGCTAAGCATTTGAAATAATTAAGTTTTATTTATTGATTTATTTAGTCATCTTCCCTCTAATTTTGCATGCATTTCCCTTTTGTCACCCAGATACATAAACTAAGGGATTTATGTGGTCTTATGAGATTGAGGTGATTGGATTGTTCACATTAAAGCTGCAGCAGAGAGAGAGAGAGACAGCTGTGCTCTTTTATTTACTTCTGCTCAGAATGTTATTGTATTGTAATACATGTGGAGTTTCTCCAATAAGCAGTGGAAGAA